GTGTATTTGTCCGTCAGCTCGTGCTGCTTTCAACAATGAGTTTGTGTATGCGGCATAAAGCGTTTGAAATTCAAGATGCAGATCTAAATACAGATTTAAATTCAGCGGTGTCCTAAGAACACTTTGAGAAACCCAAAAATCTGGAGCGTTGCTAATTGTCGGGTAAAAAATGCAGGCAAATATGCAATATTCCAAAACTCATATTTGTCATATTTGTTTGGACACATTCGACTACCGACGGCGCCGCCACCCGCAGCTGCAATATGCAAATATTTTCCACATATGTATGTTTACCTCCCACTTCCTTAGAGGACAGGATGTTCCGCCCGACTTTTCTATTATAGTCCCAACCTCTCGCAGAGTTCTCAGCCGAGGGACTCGGCACAAAAAATCAAGATTTATTTCGATTTTTTATGACTTATTGACTTCTTCACACAAATAAATCACAAAATTTTCTCCATTGTGATGTGTTTGTGAAAATATTGGAAGTGAATGTGATTTATGGTGGAAGTGCACACGTGGTGGAACAATTCTCACGGTGGGCATAATTGAAGAAGAGGGTAAATAACATAAAACAAAAATGGAAAATTGTGGGTGACCTGATAAATAGCGGAGGTCACCAAGGGTAGTTGAATCTAATCTGGGATACATTTGCCGAAGAAATTCTTTTCAATTTCTCTACTTTGAAAAAAACTATCACCAAATAAAAATACAAATATATTTACATTTTTTCAAAAATAAAAGCATATATTTTTCAGGGATAACGCGTTCATAATTTCGAGCATTTTGATATTGATATTCATAAATTCCCACTTGCAAGAACCTGTTCCCGCCATCTCTCGGTTCTTGCATTTCTTAATCCTTTAGCACAATGCACCGAAATCTAAGCAAAATCGGCTTTGATTTATATCCACACAAACGAGAAGACAAACATGGAACTGCATCTCGAGCACACAAAAATGATTTGATTTATTATGAATTTCGTTTTTAAGTTGAAAGTAAAAATCTTGAACTGCATTCGGGGCTGTGGGGCGAAATGAACCTATGTAGGAATCGTTGGACGGTTCGATCCCAGATCGACGACAACAATGCGAACTCATAAATAATAATTTGAGAGAGTGCCGAGCAGAACGTTGTTGGGTATGGTATCTAAAAAGAAGCAGGCCGTGCCGGCCCGGTCTAAACTGTAAAAACAGGTAACCTTCAAGGCACAGATACAATGGATGCAGACAGCGAGACGTGGATAAAGCCAAAAGTCATGTACTGCGACTCCAGCGGCTTAGCGTCTCGAGTTCAAAGTCAGATAATGGACTACGGAGATGCGTTTGCCGAGATATGCGCACCAAATTGCCACTGCGAAGGACGCATATTAATTTTTATGACCGTACAAAATGACGATTGCATAACCGACAGCCAGGTGACTTCGACTTCCTAATGGCCGTATGATTTTTGCTGGAAAATCCTCGATTATACGACCCCATGACAAGTGACAAAAAGGAAAAGTATCATAAAAATCAGCAGGTTTTCACTTTCGGTTTCGGATTTGGTTTGCCCTTGTTGTTGTTGCATTTTCAAGGACACTTTGGGCATTAAAAAATGAGATTCTTTGCGAATTTCTGGAAGGTGTTTGCAAGTCTAGGTAGTTGGGTTTTAAGGTATTTCCCATAGTTTCGTGAATTTTCAATTTGTTTCCTGCCGCTTTTGGAGAGTGTTCCCGATTTTGGTGTGCGAGTGGTGTTTTTTAGTTTTCGAGTTTTGAGTTTTTGCGTTCCTTGTCGCGTATCTCTTTGCCATAAATCATTGTCACCCGCTTCGGCGCAATGTCACTGCGAGCGCTTCCCGCTGGGTTTCTGGCCCCCGACCCAGGACGCTCCCTGATTCCCTGCCTCTCACTCCGATTTTCGACTCCGTTTCCCTACCACGAACCTACAAAAAATATTATATATATAAAACAGTTCGAGGCCCTGACTGCTTTAGGGCTACAAAATCATACAGCAAGTCTTTCTCCCTTTCATTCCCGTTTTGCCATGGCCAAAAACGAGCTGCAGTCACTGCAAATTGCCACCCAACAAATTTGGTTTGGGTTTGAGTTTGGTTGGACCGGCAGGACATGCTGATTTTGTCCTTTATTTCTGCAGCTGCATCAGAACTGCACCTTATTGCAATTGAAACAAGCAAACAAAAAATCAATAAGATAAAATCAATGTTAAAATCGTTTTTGTGTTAAAAGATGTTTTATTATAATATAGTAAAATAATAATTATTGTAATTAGTTTAATGTATTTAATCTTTAAAGTTTATAAAAAAATGTATTTGAAATAAATTCCATATCTTTGGGGATTGAATCAAGAACAGCAAAGCGAATTGTTCTTCTTTTAAAAATTATGAAATTTTCTACCATAATAATATTTTTATATGATGTTCAATTGTATTTCTTATAAGTGCACCAAAGTTAAAGAAACGCATTTTAAAAATTTATATTAGTCAGCAAAAAATACTGTTTAAAGAAAACATTTATTTAAAATTTAAAAAAAATTTGTAGTCCCTTTGGTAAAACGATAAAGAAAATATCAAAGTCCATCATTTCCGGCGGCTTATCAAAGTTCAGTTCTCGTGGGTCTAAAAATACATTGAAACCATACAGAGGCAAATTGAAATACTTTTTGACGATCTTAAAAAAAAAACATTTTTGAAATGCCGTTTCTGGTCTTTTGTTTTTTGTAGTCATTTGAATGTGTGTGAAATTTAGGTTTTTTTTTGAGCGATTTTTTGTTTTATTTAAATATGGTGGGGCTTGCATATGATTAATTAGCCGTTTCATGTCGCCATCTATCAATGGGAGCTTAAAATATAATTTTAATTTCAAATGCAAACCAAACTAGTTTTCTTTGTGGCCGGCTGTTTTTGTTAAAGCTTTTGGTTGGATTTGTTTTATTAACAACAATTTCGTTTACTTTTGTTGCTTAGTTTTTTGGCTTTCGGTTGAATTTCAGAGGTCGTGATTAATGTTTTTACAAAAGAGTTGTCGCCATTTGTATGCCGATTTATAAATCTTTTTGTGGCATTGCCATGAGTGTGAACTTGATTAAGAATCCGTTTAAAAGGAAGTGGTTACTCATGGTTTTGGTTAGGGAATTAAATATTTTGGTTTCACTACCAATGAAAATAATATATTTTGAAAAGAATTTTAGAATTTTTTAAACCGCTTTCGAGAAAATGTGAAAATAATATGTCTAACGGAATGCGGGACTTTTATTAAATATTGTTTCCCAATTCTTTGACCACTGCATCAGTGTATTTTTGTGTCTGACACTGGGCCATAAATCATAAAAGTTTTTGCAGGGCAAACAAGAACGGAGTTTATGATTTTGTCAGCTGTGTAACATTTCCAGCTGATTAAATCGATAAATTATGAGAAAATAATTTCATTTGATGCCAGCTATTTGATTGCGCAAAAATCGAAGCTGGCAAAAATGCAAATGGAAATGTGTTAACAATAATCGAGCAGCAAGCGAAATCCAGGCAAAGTTCATTAAAGCCAATTGGGTATATCAGCAGAGATACTGCAAAATAAAGGGGATATTTTAAAATGTTTATTAAATTAAGTATAAATTTTACACTTTGATGGGGCGCAAGTGCAATGAGAGACCGGGAAATGGAGAAAGAGAGAGGTAGCGAACGGCAGACAGAGAGGACGACAAATATGCAAAGGCCAGACAACTAGGACAACAACAAAATCAGCAACAACAAGGACAATGCACTGCAACAATGGCCGCATAAATTTTCTATGCGGAGAACCCGAGAGTGTCCTGTTTGTGCGACTGTGTGAGCAAGTGTGTGTGTGTGTGCGAGAGAAATGGCTGCCCTTTCCCACCATTCGGAAGTGAAACTATGTTGCCCAGGATATGTGCAATAATTCAAAAACGAATTCCAAGTTCAAAGCGCCCATTACTCGTGGCCAGTTAAGTTCGGAGCTCCGTTTTCAGTTTTCCAGCTTCAGCTCCCGGGGAATCCTGAATAACTCCCACTATCCCACTCCCATTTTGCAAATTTATGCAAATGGCTAATAAGCCTGTCAACAGTTTGCAGTTTGCAGGCCAAATGAGTGATGACCTGGCTGTAGCATCCGAAAAACGCCCTTTGAGTTATGAAGTGTTGAATCTGAGTTGGGCAAAAAACTTATACTTTGCCCGTTGCACCCAGAGAAATTGGTTCACTACATGAAAGGGCTACGATTAATAGTTCTGAAGGCTTTCGTATTTTAATTATGATTGGAAAAGTGGTAATACGCCGTCGGGTTAAAAAGAATTTAATTCATGTGGTAATCACTTTATGTTTTTTAAAAATCTAACACAGTTATAATTTGTTACATTTTTACAATTAACATTTAATTTTTTTTTTAAATACTTGTTTATTTAAAGAGTAAGCCATACCAAAGAGCTTTTAAACATTTTTCAAAATTATTTCAAATTGACAAGTATTTCGAATCAATCAATTATTATTTTAATAAACTTAAAACTTATTGGAATATTTTGAAATGATTCTACCAAATACAACAAAAACTAACGTAGACTTTTAAAATACATTAAAAATATGTTTCATAACATTTACTTTACAATTGTTAAATCTCATTATAAATTGATGATCTTAAATAAATCTTAAATAAATATTAATACAATCAAAACTATATAGTGGAAATTATCATTTGGCTTAAGATATAAGTCAATCAGATAAAATTAATCAATCAATCAATTTTAAATTTGCAAATGGATAAAAAGCTAACAATGCCGACCCTACAAAAATTGTTAACGTAAAAAAATATTTATCGTTGCATAAACTAAAAAATGAATTTAACTAAATAGAAAAGGGTACATTAACAGTTTAATACTTTGTTTCGACGGTCCAATTCGATTGCCTCATTTGTCTAGCCATATTTATTTTTATAGTTTTCTGTTCAGTGCATCGGCAAGGAAATTGAAAAGTCAAGCTCCAGCACTTACCTTTTAAATCCAATAACGTGCGCTTATCCTTCAATCCTGTTGGCTTTTCAAATTTCTCAGCTAACGGTAGCTTGCACGTGCGCCAAAATCAAAACTTTGCCCGCAGTGGAAACGAAACTTTTTCTTCTCCTTATTCTTTTCCCTTTTATTTTTTTTCTCGTTTTTTTGTTGTTTGTTTTTTTTTTGTTTTTGGCTGTCTACGTTTTATTTCTGTTGAATTTATTGTGGTTTGAGTTGGAAGCTTTAGCTTTTGTTTGTTGTTAGTGTGTAGATATTGCTCGATTTGCGGGGGACTAGAAAACGTTGTTCTGCAGATTCGAGTTTTCGGTGCACGATACGATTTTAAGAATAGATAAACACTTAGGTAGTAGGATTTGGCTTGATCAATTGGAACTCGAACTCTCCTTTGCAGCACAGTCAGCCCAGATCCATTAGTTGTAGTAGTATTGCACAATTAGTGGGTGAATTTCAATCCAGACACCTGCCAGACACTCGAACATCATAAAAAGAAACGCGCGCGAAATTCAATTACAATTTCTCTGGGTGTTTGGCTTTGTTTTTGTTTGGTGTTTATGCGATAACGATTACGTTTACGTTTATTATAATAATAATGGGGTTTACGACGATCTGCGCCGTACGAGGGCCAATGTGCGACTGATTGCGGTTCTAATTTTTTACGATTATTGTTATGATTATTTTACGGCCTTTATGATCTTAGCGGGCTGTCAATTGGGATAAGAGAGCGGTCGCGACGGCGGAGAGCGAGCGAATAGTTCAGTTCCGATTCCGACAGCCCCAAGATATGGCCGCTATACCGAATACGGAGTACCGAATACCGTTATGCTTCTGGGATCCCTCTCGCACACACACACAGTCGCACGTGGGCTAAATCAACGGTACACGGACGGGTCCTCGAGTGCTTTGTTGTGTGATGTTGATTTCTTTACGACTTCTATCAAACTAAACCCATAAAGCATTCAATTCAAAGCATATACATGTGAAAATCCCAGCGAGAACTCCTTATTAATCCAGCGACGTCGGCAGCGCGTCGTCGGCGGCGGCAGCGCAGTATATAAATAAAGTCTTATAAGAAACTCGTGAGCGAAAGAGAGCGTTTTATTTATGTGCCGCAACGTCGGCGGCGACTGCGACGTGAGCGGCGACAGAGGCAGAGGCAGCGACCGCGACAGAGGCACTCTGCTCTGCCCATAAAGTATTTTGCAGAAAGAACCGTTCTGCTCTCGTTGCCATTTGAGTGACTGAGAGAGCGAGTGAAAACTGCGAATGGAGAACTTGACCACATCCTCACATTCTCGCATTCATTCGCCGGAGGTCCCGGCTTGAGTTCACTTTTTCGAGCTCGCAGGCCGATGAAACAAATTCTGCAATCTACATTCTAGAAAGGACGATCTTATAGGCATCCGCAATTTTTAAGATCTTTTTCGGAGCAGGAAGACGTTTTATTTTTATTTATTTGGTATGTTTTGATTTTTATTTCACTTGTTGTTATTTCCGTAGAAGTTGAAAGATTCCTAAAGACTCCATTTGATTAGGCTAACTTTGAAGAAAACATTATTTTTATACCCTTGCAGAGGGATTTCAGTCAGATGTTTGCAACGCAGTGAAGGAGTCGTTTCCGACCACATAAAGTATATATATTCTTGATCAGCACCAACAGCCGAGTCTATCTAGCCATGTCCGTCTGTCCGTTTCTATGCGAACTAGTCTCTCAGTTTTTGAGCTATCGGGACAAAACTTTCGCAAAAGTCTTCATTCTATTGCAGGTAGAACATATGTCGGAACGAGCCGGATCGGATCACTATATCTTATGGCTCCCATGGGAATAATAAAAAAATATAGAAAAACCATTGTAACTTTGTAGAAAGTAGGCGTTTTGATTTTTGACAATGTAAAAACAAAATTTTAAGTAGGCATACCTGCAAGGGTATATAAACTTCGGCTGGCCGAAGTTAACTTCTTTTCTTGTTTTATTTGCTTTTTCAAAGTTCCTATATTTAAAAATAACATTTAAAATGTTCTCTTGGCTTATATCAAATTAGAAACATTTCCTGGGCTTGAGCTGCCTTTTTAACTTTTTAACCATGGTCATAATTCAGTAGTCGTTCAGTATCGTAAACTTTACACAAGACAATTATATAAATACAAATCAGCAGTTCATAAAGTTTGTAACTGTTAAAAATGGTTTACTATCAAAAATTGTATTATATATACTTAAAAAGTATTATTATTGGAACTATTATTATATTGGTGAGTTTAGGCAATGGATTTTATTATGTGTGTCCATTTTTTTTAACTGTCAGTGTTAAATTGTTATATTTTTTTCTTAGTTTGATTTATTTGTATGTTTGTTGTCTCAAAATTTTAGAGCTATGTTAAAGCCTATGAACAACTGCTTAATAGGGAACATAAAAAGAGTTTTCAATATTTATAGTCTGCATTGTTATAAGTCATCCTCACTTGTATTGCAATGAATGCCGTAAAATACTCAGTTTTTATGATCTTTTTTGATTTTTTATACTAAATAATGAATATTTTCTTTCATGTACCTACATTTTAAATTAAATTAATTTTCTCAAAATTAAAAATATACTTTTTTGAATCGTCTGCAGAATTAGTTTTTCACAAAATTTTAATCAATTAGTGATTCATAATACATTACGAATAATGGCTGCAGAAATAAAAATATTTTTATTAACAAATTATTGTTAATTATGGTAAAACGCAAACCAGTTCTCCGAAAATGATTTGCCGTCATATTTTGTCGTTCAGATGGCTCATTATCGGCTAACATTTCGATAATCGGGAGAATGATGGCCGCCGTGAAATATGGAACCCGGAATCTGGAATATGGCACCGGGGAGTATGGAACCCAAACATCCACTTGCCGACGGCAAAACAATCATGGCCGAGTTTATATCGAATTGCGGCAACAACAAATCACACGCACGCACACAGCCCCACACATGCAGCCCATCACTCACACGCACACAATTCACCCCAGCATCAGTTGCTCTCTCTCTCTCGCTCTCTCACAGCTGTTGTCGAGCGGGCAAGGGAACAACAACACAAGTTGGCCGACTTTTCGCTGTTGGCGTCTCTGCCGGCGTCGCTGCCAGCGTCGTAAACAGGGAGGAGTCCGCAACAGACGCACACTCATAAAGCATTCTCAGCTGTCGGAGAGCCCACACATACAGCCAAACGCACAAGATGGATGGCGGCGCAAAAAGAGAGCGAGAGTGCGAGCGAGAAGACACGAAGCGGGTACGAGCGAGACGGCCAGATGCGGCCGCGTTAAGTGTGACGAATGTGCCATTATTTTGCTTTATGTGTGTCGTGAGCGCGCCGCGCTGCTCTTTTTTCAATTGCGATTTCTCACATAAATTTACGCAGTTGTCGGCCGTGGACGCCGGCAGCGCTGCCGACGTCGACGCCAGCGTAGGCAAGGCTCCCGATTGAGAATTTTTGCCTCTTTGAGCGCGGAGAATTCACTTGGCGATTTCCAGTTGGAACTGCATGTTTGCCAGCGGCAAAAATGTTGTAGTCCTATAATGTTGTTTATTTTCGAAGTTTTTTCTTTAAATGTTATTTTTATTTTTGCATAGATGTAAAATTAATTGTAACAAATTACTTATTTTTTAAAGATAATTAAAGGGTTGGTAAAATGTATTTATATACAGGGGTGGTCAAAAGTATTTTCACAGATTTGAATGTTACCTGTACTTATATTTTGAACTTATGCTTTTAGCTTTTTTCAAAAAATCATAAAAAATACAAGAAAAAATATTTTGAAAAATTTTTTTTGCAGTTATTATTTATTTTGCTTTTAAGTTGCAGGAAAAAATTTAAAACTTGACTTTTACAAAAGTTTCTAACTTTTCAAAGGGTTCTTAATGGGTTAAGAACATTTATGTGTCATTTAAACGGAATTGAAGTGCTCTTTCTATAGGTGCCAAAAGTTTATATTATATGTTCAAAATATGAGTACAGTTAATGTCGACCATTGTATCAATAATATTTGTTTTTTATCCTTTAACTAAGCAAATTGTAAATTGTTTGTTGCAGGGTCCGAAAATAACAGTTACTTATTTTAAGAGTCCTTTAATATGAAGCAAAATATAAAGAATTTTTTTAAAAACACAGAAATTTACTCGATTGATTCATGAAATAAACCTTTATAGAGGGACTTGTATACAAAAAATTATTTATTTTTAAACTAGTTTAAGATTTTTATATTATAGTTTAAGAATAATAATACATGTGTTCAGTGTTTGGAAGTTAATGGAATTATTTTTGACAGGTCTACAGATTACTTTTGCCCAAGGGGGTCTCTGGCACCAAAAAATCGACTAATTTTGCAATGTTTTCTATAAAACTGGTTGGATGAATTTAATTCAAACCTTTTGTATATTATGGAGCCAACACTATCGGCAAATATATCGGTGACAAAGCGATTGCGTTCACTCTACCTCCGCTAAAAATGATAGGGTTTCTTTTTTGTTTTTACATTTCGCTTAAGAATTTAAAAAATCCGCCCCTAGGAGCCCTTCTTTAAATTTTTTAGTTTTGAGAATTTTTTTGATATTCCAAAATCTGAAAGTCACAAGACCAAAGTCGGTTTTCACCTTAAAAATTTGACTTTCGGCTTAAAAAAAAATATTTAAAGTTAGTCAGAAAAATATGCGACAAATTTGAAAACGATCGGATGAGCCGTTTAGAAATGCCGATAAACACGGACTTTCAAAACGTGGTTTCGAGAAAAACGCATTTAAACATTGAACATGTAAAACACACATAGAGCACTTTAAAACAAGGAGTTTTGCGGTGACCACTGTATCTCCGGCAAAAATTTACAGATATCCATTTTGCTTTTACATTTTGTTTAAGAATAAAAAGTTATTTTTTATTTTTTAACTTAAAATATTTTTTTTAACCGTTCAAAGAAAAAAATAATTTTAGCCTTACTTCTAAAGTTTTTGTCCTATTGACTTAAAACTTTTGTTGTATAATCTTAACATGTTAACATGGTTATCTACATGAAAAAAATATAACATAAATTTTTTTTTTTTGTGCAAGACCCTACCCTTCCTTAAGACACTTTTCAGTTGCACAGACCCCGCGCCGTCGGATTGAATTGTACCCTTAGGCTATGTTACTCTAAAGTCCAATGTTAATTTTTCCCCACAATTTTTTAATCGCAGCTGAGTTCCTAGTGCTATGGGTCCATAACCTGTTAAACATACTAACTTAAAAAAGTAATAGTAATGTTTTAACCAAAACAAATTAACTTTTTATCCACCTACCTACATACTGGTTCAATAGATGGAAACATTGGACAAAGTCAATTGAATCACATTACAGGGCAGGGGAATGGTAACACGCTAACCTACACACATAAAACAGTTACCTAGAAAATTTTTAATTGGCCGAAAAACTGTAGGTTTGATTTGTTTTTTTCGTGAAATCTTTGTACAGTTAAATTTTTGTTCACATGTTTTGCACTACAATTTTTTAATTTTAGCTTTTAACTATTTTACTTAGAAAGTACAATTCAGTGACATTACAAGTAAAACAATGATATAGATGAAAATATTCGAGAATAATACAAATATTTTATGTTGATTTTACAATTTTTTTTTTGTGTGTGTTTTAAATGATTTTTATTAATTTTAAAATTACTCGACTTAAATATTTTTTTAAATGTATTATTACTCCTTACCTAGAAACCTATATAAAATATTTAAAAACTTAAGATTAGCTTTCTTAAAAGCCATTTTAGCGGTAATGGTGACTAATGAATATGTAATGAAATAAATTAAAATATTTGGTAAATATACCTAAGATATTTTAAAGTTGTGCCGAGTCCGGAAAATGTTACACTCAATTATGTGTCGGCAATAAATATCAAGAAAACGGATGAATCGGTTTTAAAAGCATACTTG